TTGTTCTCTATCCCTAGCCTTGAGTCTGGAAGAGAAGTCAACAGCCAAACTCATTATTATTATTTCAATCACATGGCTCAGCTACCCGGCATCTATCTCAAACACTTGTTAGCTTTTATACTTGGATTACCAAACCCTACAGCATTCCAAACAAGAAGTACTTTGGACACGATTATACCATAAGTGGCAGAGAGCAAAGCAAACAGACTATTATGTCATATATGTTACTTTATGAAGTAAGCTCTAAAGCTATGGTTTCATAGTTTGTAATGTAATGTGTAGATTATAGAGTCACTAGTTATCTTAAACCAGGTAGGGTTTTGAAGGTAAAATTTGCAATAACAAGATGGAGTTTTCACTGTTTTGTTTGACATGATGATGCGACGATTTGCTACTCAATCTAATAACTAGCGCTGATGAATCGTTTAGTTGACTGTTAGTTATCTGCAGGATTTTGATTTTTGGTCGTTTTATGCTGCTAAATATATATATATATATATATATATATATATATATATATATATATTCGTAAATGTCTTTTTTTGCATTAGAAAGTTTTAAAAAATTACCAAAGATATGCTATTTTTCATTATTTTTCACATTTCTAATAATTTTAAAGAAATTATACTCAAAATGGATTTTAGAAGATCATCGTGGACTAGTCGATGTGTTAAAAGACTTAAAATCATTTCGACCACCAGCTGATCTTTTGTTGGAATTATTAAACCCTCTGAAACCAAGATTGTATAGTATATCATCATCTTCATTAGTTCATACAAATCGAATACATATAACTGCTGCTATAGTAAAATACAAAATAAACTCAGGTCTGTATTCATGATTCTTAAGGATTTTTGAAGGAGAGAGTACATTTAATCTATTTTGCATATTAAATTAATTAATGGTTTTCTTAACTTGTAGTTTACACGATATTGACACTGATGAGACACATGGTTTTTTTTTAATACAAAGCGTAAAGTTAGTGTTTGGTATGTATTTTGCACGTATGAAGCTCGTGATAATGATTTTATATCTAGAAATCGGATTTATCTGACCAAGTCTCCAGCTAATACTGTGATTTTTGTCGAAAACACTTGTGATTACCCAGTCGGTGGTAGAATTCATATTTAATAGCATCCGGGTTGCTATGCTTTGGGTTGTAAACAAAACCAACTATCATCATTCCATTCGTATGGCCTGTTAATTTAACCTTCTGCCTTACATCATATCATTCAGTGTTCATAATAGCTCTAGTGGATTCTTTTGCATACGGTTTTGGTGCTTGGTCTAACTTGTTTAAATTTTCAATGGTACATGACCTTGATGAGCGTAAATGAAGTGTACTTTTAAAATGACAGTTGAATAGCAAATTAATATTAGCTTATTCGTCTGTTAAACGTGAGATACGGCACGTATCAATACCATGCATTTCTTGATCTATAACGAGACTTGTTTATTGATAGATCTACATGGAGACACGAACGTTGAAAGTGAAAAACGTTTATAACAGACTCAGTTTTAGAATAACTGGATTGGACATTTCAGTAGTTGAAGTATTTTACTAAAAATTGACCTACCAATTGTAATACAATTGGAGTTTTTGTAAGTGTGATAAGCGTTGATAAATCTTGGAAGAGTTGGTTTCAACAATTTAGAATTCTTATATCATTATTTCGTTGGATTCTCAACTCTTTATTATTATTGAGGAGTTTCACAATGTCGTGCCCAAAATAATTCGTCAGTTAGTTACCGAAGTAATTACTTTCCATTAACTTTCCGATAAGTAAAGTGAATTATTTTTTGAATTTTAATCCAAATGTTTGTTTTACGAGTGTTGGGTAATATTTCTAATTTTTCGTGATGTATCAAAATAATCTTTTCTAGTATCATTGTTTTGTTGTTTGTATATTTAGGACGAATATTCAAAGGACTAGCTACTAACTGGTTGAAATCATTGCAGACAACAGACACTCAGCGACAGTTGAAAATACCTGTCGCGATTCATACCAGTAATTTTAACTTGCCGCGGAGTCGTAAAATCCCAGTCATTATGATAGCTTCTGGGACAGGACTGGCTCCATTCCGCGCATTTATCCAAGAGCGCTTAAAGATGGCTCACGATAAAGGTGATCCACAGTTTGAATTGATTGGTGTTCCCTAAATGCACTGATTTATAATTTTTCGTAGAAAATCATTACCACATATGTGTTCTACATTTGTAGCTTAGGTCAACTAAATGTTTTGGTTCAAACTCCTAGGATTTATAGATAATTAGTCATGAAATCTAAAATTATTTGTGCGATTTTATGTAGAAAAAACACTAATATTGTCACTGAAGTTTGTGATTTTTCATTTCTCACACTTTTTTGACCAGCTTGACCATTCTATTTCACCATACGGGATTATTGTACATGTGTCTTGATATTGTTTAAAATAGTATTTATGCTGTATCTGGTGATAATTATCAATATAAGTATGGAATCCATCAGGAATGCCAAAATCTTTGTCAACATTTTCCTGATAGAAACGCGCGTGATAAGTTACACTAAGTGTTCAATTTAACTGCGTTCGAGTGTGAATGTTATTCAAACCGATTCTTTGAGTTTAGATGTTATTAAGTGGGAACGTCTTGATTTAATTGTCTCATTTCATAGTCTCAATGATGATAATAACAACAGCCTATCAAAATTGTATTGACTTAGTTACTTGCTTACTTAAAATCGAGATTGTTTTGTACTGATTATTTAAATGTCACTAGCTACAGAGAAGTTAATTAATTTTCAATTAATTGATAGTCGACATCAAATACTGAAAATGATATTCTTATGTGATTATATTATGTAGCTCATAAAATACAGACTTTTAACTCGAAAATCTATAGTTAATATAAATCAAATGTTTAATGCTGTTTTATTTGTAGTCTTAGTGACTAAATTTATCATAGTTCTAATTTTAAAAAACTAACCAGAGAAATACATAGTTACGCACTGAATAACCTATTCTTGAACTTATTAGGGCGATTGGAATAGTGCAATTCAGCCTAGTTTAATTGCATACCATAAATCTGACACACCTGCCTATGTTTGCAGCTAGTCGTATTTTATCAGTTTGTTCACTATTCTTTATGATTAACTATGCATGTCTATTTTGTAGTTGGTAAGAATGGACAGATGGTATTATTTTTCGGTTGCCGGCATGAAAATGAAGATTTTATTTATTCAGACGAATTAAAACAAGCCTGTTCTACTGGCCTACTTGAAATGTTTACTGCTTTCTCACGTGACTCTTCCGATGGTAATAAAGTTTATGTTCAGCATAAATTGCTTGAGATGGGTAACATGGTGTGGAAACTTTTGGATGAATGCTATGCGTACATTTATGTATGTGGGTAAGTAATTTTGAACTTCGCTCAACAACATTTGAAGTATGTTGTGAAAAAATTCCGATACTTCTTGTCATTTCACGGCAAGTGTTGTGAGGTATCTGTATAATGTATCTAATAACCGAAAAGAGTATGTACATTGGTCTGCAAAGTATTGTTTACACTAGATTTTCTGAAAACTTCACTTCAATATCATATAAATATTAAATACAGTCCGTTAAGACTTTATAAAGCTCCTAAGACTATAAGCTTTTTTTTAACATTTTAAGACTCACCATGAACTTACTTTCAGCAAAAAGGCATCATTCGCAGAACTTGAATCTCAAGTTTATAAACGCTATTTGCATATGTTACATTCACAAAGTGCCCCAAGATAATAAACGTCAAGTCTTTTGTAATTTGTTAATAAGTCTTTTTTCTTATCAATATTTTGATTTTTATAGGTCACGTAAATTGGTTATCCTTTTCATATAGTCCAATATTTTCCTACTAACCGTAGCTTTGTTCAGTTTTTACTTCTTTCACGCCGGAGGTGCTTTACTAATACAATTGTTTTGAGCTGTCAGTTTTAAATCCCACGAATTACATCTAAATAAACAAGTTTTCGAATATGTTCTATTTATATTCGGAAGCCTTTTAAAAAATCTAGTTTACCTATGTTATCGGAATCCTATTCATAGCTCATTGGTCAGCGTCATTCAAATTAAATCTATTAAGCGAGACTAACCAATGGTCCTTAGATAACTTTAGGTGGTTTGTAATAGGGACCATTTGTGCAACTGCTTATCTTAACCATTAGTCTGACCTCAATATGCTTTTCGACATGTTTTCTAGGGATGCCGCTGGTATGGTGCGTGATATGCAATTGTGTTTAATCGAATTAGTAGTACAACATTCCAAATTAACAAGAGAAGCTGCAACCAGTTATATACTAAACCTACGAAAGCAAGGACGATATTGTACCGATGTATGGAAGTGATTTCGAATACACTTCTGAATGATGTGTGTAGTGGAACACATTTTTCCATGAACATTTATGGATAACCCTTAATTAATAAAGTCTTGTTAAAATGTCTAAAACTTTTATTTTCATATAACTTGAGTGAAATGTTTCAGAGTTTATATCAGCTGCAGATTCCAGCTTGGGTAAAGCAAATAAAACCTTGCGCTTATGGTTATTTATTGATATACACTTGTAACATTAACGATTTGTCGTAAGATCTCCCTTACAAATATACACTCAAACAAAAACACGAGTCGTTACTATACTGTCATTAAACTTATCTTTTATTGGCCGTGTGTCATAGGTTATGATCTATGAGGATTTCCTAATAAAATCATAATGAGATGATAATTTTTTTAATGTTAAAAGAGATAGTATTGGTACTATCAGGGTATATATCGAGGAAAACCGTCGTCATGAGCAACGCAAAATGTTCAGAAGTAGTTGGAATTGACGAAAAGACATATATACACTTAGATTATATGAAATTCTGTATTTCATCGACGTTGTTAGACAGTCAACAAAATATGCTTTATGTAATTTAATGGGTTGTATAATCTCACGTACATATGAATGATAGCAAATTAAATAAAATTCTATTTGAAAAACAATTATTCATTTTACTTCCAACAATGGTAGTTCTGACCTCATATTTACGAATGGAATAGTTCGACCGGTGGAAAAGTAAGTGATCATTTTCCTCACTGATATGTCTTCAAATGTATTGGAGGTTGTATAGTGATAGAAAATGTTTGCAAATATTGCAGCATATTCAACTGCAGAAAACATAGTATAAGCTAGAATGGAAACATCAAAGATGGATGAATTTTTGCTAAAATAATGAATCGGAATTTTTTTTGTAAATTTTAAATGAAAATAGGAAAGCTACTCGTAAGATAAAGCGAGTGGACAGTTGCATATGCGTTTTTAAATGTAGCGTAGCATTTGAGACTGAGGCGCAGTTCGGTATTTTTCAGATTGTATAAGTTTTATCCAGGGAGCACATGACACAACAAATACCGGCTTTTAATAAACTCAACAAATATACTTTATTTTTAGGTATAGGCTGTTCCACAAACGTTTATGTTTAGTAACTTAATTCTAAAGTATATGCACTACACATATGATTGTTCTTTTACAGATACCACTCAACTACGCCATTTGGGAGAACCTATCTCCTCCTGGAGCTTCTTTCCTCTCTTAGAAATGGTTACTCATATAATGGATATCCATGGATATAAATAAAATGGACAAAGTAAACTACTTAGTTTCAAGGTTCACAGTAAATCTGCTAACCAGTGAATTAACTTCGGACGAAAAATTCAAGAATACTCTACAGAGTTCTGGACTGTTTTATGGTCCTTACTAAATATCATATTAGTATTAAAAGAACCATTTTTTTAACATTCAGATTGAAAATTTGTTCGCCGCGTTGCTTCTTATCAACTGCTAATCAAAATGTTGTGACGCCAGTAGAACTTGGTGTCACCGAGATCCTAAATAAAAAAATCTACATTTATATTACACAGAGAAAACTATTGGGAATTTTCCCTACGATGAATAAAATAACTAAAATATTAGATAGGTATTGTAGTGTATTAAACGTACCATATGGAGGACAAAATGTCATATGAATCCAATAACATAGTATTAGAATCAACAGACAAATTAAGTAGAATGCCATAAGACATATCTTCTTTCGTAATATGTTACTCTGGAAAACGATGAAATCATTGGTATATTTAGATAGTAAAATGTAGGTGCGTGAAACATTTATGTGAGGTAAGTGATGCAAGAAGACATGTGCATACATGGTTGGAAGTTAAGGAGCCAAAAGCCTAGTCATAACATACACTTCATAACTAAAAGTTCAGGTAATATTACCTACAAGCGCTGTCGATTTGGTTGTGACTCACCTTCAACGTATTTTGTTCACACGTGTACAGTGTAATACAACCACATGAAAAACTTGTTTATAAAAACGCATTATTGGCAGCATTTCAGTTCTAATCAAGAAAATACTTTAGACCAAGTTGGTGTGTGTTAAAATAATAATAATAAGTTAAACTTACAACAGAAACTCGTCACGTCCATAGAGTAATGTTAAAAAGCGGTTTAGTACGCATTTGTACAAAGAAGGTACTTGGAATTGAGTTTGAAACTAATTGCCAAGCTAAATTATACTTTATAAATATGTCCTGGATAATTAACCGTCTAGGACGTAGGTGTTTGTGGGAGTGCATAACTGTCCAAGCAATCACGCCTCAGCAAAGGGGAAATATCAGCTGCGAGCGAACCGTGAAATTAAAATTACTTTATACCTTTATTCGTATGAACTAATTCTTTCCTCCTGTATCATACTCTTATATGCAGTCGCCTTTTGTATATTATCACCACTGAAGTAACTGCTTCTATGAATTTGGTGTTCTCCTTCTTGTGCTAACTGTCTAACAGTATGTTGAGAATTTATATCGAGGTCTCGTACACTAGATGATTTCATTCGTATATAGCTAGCTACTCACAGAAACTCGAAAATCACGACAGAAATATTCACGCCCTGGTATTTTGAGACTCGTCTTCACTATCCGGTTATTCGAGAAATATTAACTTAAGGCTACCTAGCATTTTATTATCATCCCTGTAGCCTGGAAGTGAATCAGTGGGAAATATGGGACATTTCTATGGACACCACCCATAATATCAGACTTGAGGTTTTAATTACGTTCAATAAACTTCGAAACAATATATTCACTAAATGGACAGCTTAACTAGGTGAGCAAACCACTCAAATAAATGACAACACCGTCGGGTGAAATTCTCAAAGTTAAATCACTAGCAAAACTATATAGAAAAACATGATACATATTTCATTATTGGCAATCAAGTTAAGTTGTTTTTAGAAATTGAGTTAAGTTATCCTTACCAGAAAAGTATTTTCAGTTGTTTTAAGCTTAAGTTGTAATACGTAAACATCTGTTATCATATACACCACCGAGAACAAAGCAAAGGCACAGAAGTAATTGCGGTGCTGAACTGAAAGGAATTGTTGTAAAGTTGACGCTCACTATAGTTATCAGATGCAGAAACAATGCTAAGCATATTGAGTGAAAATATTTCAATAACACTTGAGAGATATACCAAATTGGGAATGCATTTATGGTCTCCGCCTGAGAATGAATTGAGGAATTTACAGGAATTTATATAACTATTTAATAGAATCAACAGTCTCCAAGTGGAACTAATAAGAACTGATAGCATCCATAATATCCTGTGAGGTCCATTACCACCAATGGCAGCACTAACAGATGGTAAGAAATTGGTATCCTACAAAACTAAAGTTTTCGTTATTATCAATTTACTGTGCAATTAAGTCAACTACATGGATTCGTAGTCATACATCTAAGAACACATATTATCAGCGAAATCGCTGGAAGCGATGCGACAACAATATAGATATGTCGAAACGTAACGCAGAAACTCATTCAAATTTGTGGCAAGGGACGGGACAAATGTTAGTTTAAGGTCAAAACTGGATTACTGCGTACAAAGAGTTTCAATCACAGTCACGGAAACCTGGCTGACGCAGCCTATAGACAGTAATGAATTTGCTTTTACGTTAGTAAAAGCCGACAGAATCCAGAAGCGTTAGGGAGAAGGAGCAGCTCCATTCATTAGGAATACTATCTCAATTACATTTTCTATAGTGTATCCCATGAGAGTGACGCATGAATTAGTCCTCTTGTCCCTTGCATTCACGGGACCCGATGAACTGCATCTTACTTTACTAAAAGAATTAGCTAACTTCATCGCGAAATTTTTACGTATATGTTTTAATCTATCCGTAACTCAGCGGCGTTTAGCACAAGACTGAAAAAACACCAATAGTAAGTCCTGTCTTCAAAACGGGTACGAAACATAAACTTCCGTATTACCGACCCGTTGGTCCAACTAGTGTGTATGTAGAAATTTCAGAAAAGATTATTTAGAAAGAGCTTCTTAAGTATCTGGATGAAAACCGGATCCTTGTGGAAAAGCAGCATGGTTTTAGATGTTGTAGCGGTAAATAAATCCCCAAAATAAATAGCTCTGTAAGTCTTCGACATTGGATGCTGACCACATTAGTTTTAATGGACTCACCTAGCTGAAGGTGCTCGGTCATGCATCCGACCAGATCATGAGTGGGAACTCCATGCTCAACATCCCCTACAATCGCCAGACAGATTAGATCAAACGATCCTCGATATATTGATAGCTTATCAAATATATCTTCGAATCTCCTCGCTTCTGCCTTTTGATTTCACTTGTTGAGTACGCTTCACATTAGAAGGTGTTACTGGTTAAAGCGTTGTCAAATTCTGAATACCTGTGGTATTTCCCACTCGTCCATTCTCGTACTTGATATTTCACCATGACTGAACAGATACCTAAGGTATTTAAGTTAAAGACTTTGTCCCCACCTTCGTTCCAACTAACGCCCTTCAGGACAGACAACATCGAAGCCTGGTTTTGCTACGCAGAATCCGACTTCTACGAGCACGGCGTGAACGAGACACGTGCACAATTCCTCGCAGTAGTCAAGGCACTACTAGGCGAATTCAGCAGGCACGTAACACCTAGTATGTTTACTAGTGATGTTTCTGACCCATGCAAAACCCTCAAACATGCCATCCTTAAACGCGGAGATCTAAACGATCGACAGAGGTTAGACCAACTCCTTAACAACATCGACCTGCAACACGGTTCTGCCACAGATATGTTGCAAAGAATGAGAGAAATTATTGGCCAAATAACTTTCGATGATGGCCTGTTCAAACAAATTTTCTTATTAAAAATTCCTCAACAGGTGCAAGCTGTGCTGGTCTCGTTTCAAAACAACACCGTAGACGAGCTGATTGCATCTGCCGATCTCATTCTCGAAATCTCTAGATCTTCTAACGCCGAGGTTTTTTCAGTCAAATAAAAGCCTCAAACGACCCAGAATGACATTACAGAGTTATGTCATACACTTACGTGTTATCTCAAACTTCGTAACGACCGTGAACGGTCATACACTCCGCGAAGAAGCACATCACGTAGGCGATCGTTTCTAAACCTCGAGAGACGGATAATCCTGACTGGTGCTGGTATCATAACCAGTATGGAAAGTTCGCCAGAAATTGCAGAAAACCCTGCAATTTTCCCAACGCAAAATCGGTCGATGCGAAAAATGTTTCGGGAAACTTCCAAGCCGGCACGCGTTAACGGCAACCGTAGCCGGCAAATATAGCCGTCTATTATACGTCACTGATGTGATAACGAGATTTCGCTACCTTGACGATACTGGAGCAGAAGTTAACGTTCACCCAGCGAATTCCAACGACCGGCTTCACAAATCGGTTTTAAATCTACAGGCGGCAAACGGAAAGCCTATCGCTACGCATGGCAAAGGGTACGTTTATCTTAAGGTGGGTTTACGCAAACCCATTCACTGGATCTTTGTTGTTGCGGATGTTTCTATGCCAATCATTGGTACGGACCTTCCACAACACCACAACTTAATAATCGATACGCGCAAACGGAAGCTAGTAGATGGAAATACTAATTTATCTGTTTGCTTAACTTCTTTTTCTGGTTGCAGGTTATCTCCTGTCACTATTAAGCACACTATAGACCCATTCTACCAACCACTACTCGATAAGTATTCTGGCATTTACTAATCGCAACCGAAATTGCCGTGTGTAACCAGCAACGTTACACATCACATCACGACTACAGGACCAGCTGTATTCTCTAAAGCACACCGACTGGCCCCCGAAAAGTTAAGGTTGGCGAAAAACGAATTCGACGATATGATAAACTTAGGAATCATACGACCGTCAAATAGCCCATGGGCATCTCCGTTGCACATGGTCCCTAAAAAGGACAGCAACGATTGGCGTCCAACTGGTGACTATCGGAGATTGAATGCAAAAACCATTCCCGATCGTTACCCGTTGCCCCACATTCACGATTTGACAGCTACCTTGAAAGGTGCAACTGTCCTTTCAAAAATTGACTTGGTAAAAGCTTATAACCAAATTCCTATGGCCATTGAAGACATTCCAAAAACCGCTATTATAACGCCCTTCGGACTCTATGAATTTTTGGGAATGCCTTTCGGTCTGAGAAACGCGGCACAGACTTTCCAAAGGTTCATAGATGACGTTTTTCGAGGTCTCAACTTCGTACATGCATACGTTGATGACTGTCTAATAGCAAGTCCGGACAGAGAATCACATCTCCAGCATCTGGAACTTGTTTTCGACCGACTACAAAAACATGGCATTACCGTAAACATTCAGAAATGCCAAATCGGAACCGAATCCTTAGACTTCTTAGGACACACCATAGATGCGCATGGCATTCGACCCCTTAGAACAAAAGTGGCAGCCATTCTGGATTACCCAGAACCGACCACCATCAAGCAATTGCGCACGTTTAACGGTCTGGTAAGTTTTTATAGACGATTCATACCGAAATGCGCGTTACTTATGAAACCCCTTACCGACCAACTTCGTGGAAATGAGAAATCCATTAATCTAGATGACACTACCAGAAAAGCATTCTCCGCGGTTAAGGAACATATCGCCCGAGTAGCAATGCTTGCTCATCAGGCCCGCGCCTTCGTCGAGACGTGGGTAGCAAACTTCGGCTGCCCAACAACCATTACTACAGATCGTGGACGTCGGTTTGAATCTGAACTGTTCCGTTGTCTGACCATGAAACTAGGAATCACTCGCTTTCGAACGACGGCCTACCACCCACAAGCAAACGGGTTAGTAGAACGTTTTCACCGACAACTAAAAGCGTCACTATCAGCCTCAAACATTTCTCAGTGGACTGACGCTCTTCCACTCGTCTTACTAGGCGTACGCAATGCAGTGAAATCTGACATTGGATACACTGCATCTCAGCTCGTTTATGGTACGACCCTTCGACTTCCAGGAGAGTTCGTGGATCCTTCATCCTCTTCGATGGACATGGATCTAACCTCCTACGCGAACAGGCTTACAAACGCAATGCGTTCAGTTAAACCTGTTTCCACTCGACCACAATCAACTGATGTTTTTGTTCAACCTGACTTACGATATAGTACACACGTTTTCGTGCGTCGAGACTCGCATCGACGACCTCTCGAATCAAGATATGAAGGACCTTTCAAAGTTCTTCAACGCGAATCTAAGTACTATATAATCGATAAGAACGGAACCAAAGAAAGCATCAGTATCGATCGCCTCAAAGCAGCTTATTTAGAAGGAAATCCTATTCACGTCGATTTTCATTCAATACAATCGCACGACACAACTCCTACCCTTATAATACCTCAATCGACAGCAGACACACACGTTGATACTTCGACAGTATCCGAAAATAAACTCAAAACAACGCGTTCTGGAAGAAGAGTAAGATTTCCAGAACACTTGAACGATTACTGCACACAAGACACAAGTTAACATTTTATATCCTCTCGATTTTCCATGGTACTACATATAATTTTGTTTTAAAAACAAATGATTTTAATATGCTTATATATTTTTATTATTTCAAAAAAGAAAAAACAAAAAAATAACAACATTATAAAAATCCTTTTTTACGCTATTACGTGAGCATGAGTTTATTTTTCATTTTTTCCGCTCGCTTTGTGTTTTTACGCGCGTACGAGTGTATTTCGACATGCACTTACATATTTTTATTTTCTTTTCCAGGACGACTGGAAAAGGCGATGAAAAGAACGATGAAGTTGCGAGAAACGAAAATCTGCATTGTACTTTTTTTTACTGTATTGTACATCATGGTCTATTATAGTGAGGAAAGACGACCAGACGCTGCTAAACCTAGCAAGCTATCAGAAGAGTGTTTACCAAAGACAAACTCGTTGGGTTTAAACTTCTGGCTGGCCACGTTTTATGGTCATCACTACCCCACTAGGGGGGAGTGATCTGTAGCGGTAAATAATTCCCTAAAATCAAATAGCTCTGTAAGTTTTCGACATTGGATGCTGACCACAGTTTTAATGGACTCATCTATCTGAAGGCGCTCGGTCAAGCATCCGCACCAGATCACGTGTGGGAACGCCGTGCTCAACATCTGCCGCAATCGCTAGCCAGATTAGTTCAAACGATCCTCGATATATTGGTAGCTTATCAAATATATCTTCGAATCTCCTCGCTTCTGCCTTTTGATTTCACTTGGTGGGTACGCTTCACATTAGAATGTGTTACTGGTTAAAGTGTTGTCAA